GAAAACTTCAAACATCAATGCAATAATATAACTAAATCTTACTCAGATCCCTCAGTTGTCCCTTTTTCACTTTTAAGATCAAATTTAGGACACCATATTGCATTAAGTCGTAAAGCCTTTCATCTCTTCTGCCATGTTTTTCAGTCTCTCCTGTCATGACTCTGAATCTTATAAAGAGGATTCATGAGGTGTTCTGTAGTATGCTCCTGAATTTGGCTTTGCCTAATGTTTTCATCATGATTAGAATAGAGCTGTGGGATTGGGGAAGAATATCTCAGAAGTGAGGTGTCTTGATCACATCATACCCAAATACACAGAATCAACATGACTTATCACAGGAGATGTTAGTCTTGCTCATTTGATGCAAGTGATGTCTGGTAGGTTTCTCCATGTAAAAGTTACCTTTCCCCTTTTTCCATACTCTCTCTATCTCTCTCTTTTTTTTTTCATACTCCTTATTTTTTTAGAAATGAGTCACTAAGTCTTGCCTACACTGAGGAGATGAGTGAGGTATCTACATATATTATTTGGAATTTGAGGAATATTTGTCTCTTCTCCATGATTTGTCTATTTATTTATTTATTTATTTATATCAGTATGTATTCATAGATTTTTATTTTATACATTAGGTTATACTTTCATATGAGCATTATTTTCTTTCAGCTTTAGTCATTGGACACTCTTTCTGGTTGCTTCTAATCCTTCTGACATCCCCCAATGATTTTGGGGGAGTCACTTTTCACTTTTTGTCATTACACAATGCTTCAGGCTCATCTTAAAATTTTCCTGCCCCAACTCTAAAATCAGCTATTTTTCCTGGGAGCTCTGGTTCCCTTTAACAAAAAAGTAGAATAGATTTAGAAACTAAAATCTGGGCATAAGGCCTGTTCATTGCTACTACAATGTCATTGCTTTTAGAATCTTTCAGCAGATAGAGATAATAAATGTTACATATCTATAGCCATCTATGCACACATGTCTATATTTCTGTATCTGTCTGTATACTAAAATTAAATTGGTTCAAATTCATGTCTACTTCTCTAATCCAGCACTGTAAGATTGATTTTAGCCACTCCCTTTGCTTATTTGTAACTTCTTTCTCTGGAAATGCGAAACCTATTTCTCAATATCAATAATCTATTGATGTATGCATTACACCCTGGTACGCATGCAAAGTAGTTTCATAATTGTTAACCTCTACTCCTTAGAGAAAAAAATATCAACTAGAGAACAGTGTCTCTATATAGTTCTTTTTGTAGTTAGCCTTATTCTTTTCAGATTTTGCCTTTTCAAAATCATGTTTTCCAAAATTACTTACCATAGATTCTTCCCCACATCGCCTTCAGTAAGGTAATATCTTCCTTTTGTAATTTGCTGACATTCATTTGTCACAGTTTTCACTCCATCTTAGGATACCCCATTTGTTTTCTTATTTTTTTATTTGCATACTGTATAGTTCCCTCTTTGTGTCATACAGACTTGTAGGTTTTGACATGTGAGGTATTTTGTTCCACACCACAGACAGTTTTGTTGCCTTAAAAATCTCCTCATGTAATCACTTTCTAGTAACACTCTGATATCTCTAAACAGAGCAACCGCTGATCTGATTTCCCACCTCTATATTTCGCTTTTTCCAGAGCATCAGGTCCATGAAATCATACAATATTTAGTTATTTAGGTTTGCCTTCCTTCACTTAGAAAAATGCATTTAAGATTCATTCATGATATGTATAAATCAATAGTTATTTTTAATATGTACATATATAAATATACATATATATATTTAGGTAGCATTCCATTGTATAGATAAACCACAATATGTTCATCCATTTACCAATTGAAGACACCATCTTAGTTATTTCTACATTTTGGCAATTAATGGTAAAGTTGATATTAATATTCACATATAAATTTGAGTAAAAATATATTTTCAATTCCCTTGGATAAATACCTAGGAGAGAGATTACTGAATGATACAGCAGTAAGTATGTATTTAAATTTATAAGTTTTATGCAAGGTTTCTCAAAGTGGCATTCTATTTTTAATTT